ATGAAGGACAATTAGGCCAAAGAAAAAGACAACATATTGTATACAGTGATAGCGAGGAAGAACAGCATAATTGCCAATGTAGAAAACATATTAAAAGTAATGTATCACAAACATACATTGTATTACATTTATTTTATGTTATAATTACGCATAAATTTTGCTGCCTTTTTTTTAAATGTTTATAATGAAATCTGTAGAAGGATCCTTCTATCTTTTGATTTCGATAAAATATGATATATTTGTAAAGAAATTAAACTATTAGAATTATAATCGTTGTTTTTTGTACAGGAAAACAGATTAATGTGAGTAGTGTTACTACAGTACCATCGTGTCCTTCAAACGTTCAAATAAAGAATAAATATGTCAACGTACCACAAATTGCAACATTCAACGATGCAAGTAGAAATATTGCGTACGAAATTTCGCAAAACGGTATTATGATTTATAATATTATGAAATAGAGTAATTATTATAAATATAGGAATATTAAATTTAGTCATTAATGCATTTACAGAAAATAACCCAGTCCCATCTACATTTAACGAGAGGCTACATTCTGAAATAAGTAATATGCCTATAATAGTAGAAGGTATACATATACATTGTTAAAATCAACAGAGATTATTACATACATACAGCATATTAACTTCATAAAATTTTTTTAGGATATGAGCAACTTACCGAAACCGTACAGGATAGTAATATAAAAGGTAAATTATCTCTTTTCATATTATTAACACTTTGTACACACAAGATATCCGATCAGTTTTTCGTACATCAAATTGTTGAATTTGTATTGTAGAAAAGTTGGACCAAATATTACGGATGCAGGCAGCTACAAATATTTCATTGAGAAATATTAACCAACGATTATATAAAATAGAAGATGCCATTAAACACAAAAGTACAAAAAGCCCTGTTGAAATTAATGACAATCTCATCGCACCGTTTTTGCCACTTAAAACAATAGAAGAGATAAAACAGTTTGAATGCTTACTGAGAACGTCAAATGAGCCAGTAACACAATTTGTAAGTTTTACATTTCTTTACTATCCTTACAATTGTATTTCATTTTAATATAAAAACACTTCATTAAAATGTTTTGCATAACATGGTTGTTGCTAACTACAGAGTAAACATTGTACAATTAAATTGACATATTCACTACTTAATATATGTATATTTTATAATTATATTTGACTACAAGAAGTTAAAAATTAGTTTAAGCTCGTTGGAATTATTTTTTATTTTCTTTGGATTTCTTTGTTTCTGATGTACGTTATTAATCAAGAGTTCCGTGGTGAGGAAACCTAGGAGATTTAACTATGTGTAAAAGTTTTGTGGATGAAAAACATGCCTATAATTGTTTGAATAAAAATATCTTCACTAAACTTTATCATATCCTCTTATAATATTATACTGTTCTATCAGTAATTCATTGAAGTAAATGTAAAATATATTTCTTAATTTTTTCTTTTCTTTACAGAAACAGTTTGTATCAAAAACTGGTGGCAATAATGCCAAAGATCACATATACAAATGTTTAAAAAAATTAATAACAAATGAGTGCGCCATGAAATGTTCATGGAAAGGCTTCCGTAATAATTTTCAAATATCGAACTTATATTCCATGAAAATTATGAAAAGTAAGTTATGGACGTATATGTGTGTGTCTATATGTATGTGTGTGTCTATATGTATGTGTGTGTTGCTGAATTTACCAAATTTTTTATTACAATGCTTCTATTAGTTTTATATGATTTTCTTTTTCTAGAAGAGATAACATCGCACTACACATGTACAGAATCTGATTTCGACAATACTACGGCAGAATGGTTACGTTTTGCAAATCAAAGGAACAAAAGAGAAAATCAAGCTAAAGAAAATAATGCAAAATGTAACGAATGTAATGAAGATAACGAATATTAAATATATGTATAATATAATATTTATCAAGGTAAAGTTAAGTTCAAAAGATTTGTTTTTGTGAAATTTTGAACTTTTGAGACTTCTGATGACGCTAAAGTAATTATGACTGCAGAATCTATAAAATATAAAGATACTGAATTTATAAGAAATGGTACTGCAAATTACAATGCAGAAAATACAAGAAAGAGAGAAACATAGGAAAAAGAAAGTAGATAAAAGAAATCAACTACCACACAAAAAAGAGATGCAAAAATTAATGCGGAATAAACATTTATAGGGACAGATAATTGTTTAAAAGTATTTTGAATTGATTAAAAGTAAGAAATTATTTACTTTTCTGGTATTTCCACGATATATACGCAAATTATATATGTATATATATATATATATATATAGTTATTTTTATTACTGTAATTAAATCAAAGACCTGTTATTCCTAGATGTTGCGTTTCCCAGATAACGCACGTCAAAGAAATCATAAAAATATTTAAAAGATGTTGCGATAAAACATCTTCCAAAATCTTCATATTTTCAATATCACTATTTCATAACAACATAATAATTATATAACAATTCCATAACATTTTTTTTACAATTACAATTGCTTTTTTATTACAACTGTATAATAGAAATGTAATTTGTAGAGAAAAAAATACTTTTTTCAACATTATTACGTAAAAAATGGATATAATTTCTTGTTAAAAATATATCTTATTATATTCTTAATTATCTCATGTAATTATTTTTACAATACACACAATTGTTTAAAATATGCGCAGTAGAATTAAACGTATTTTTAGAATATTTTTGTGACAAAACAAATTTCTCTTTTAATCTCATCTTGCATGATATATAAACATAACAAAAAATCTTTTAAATCTTTTGAAATACATTTGTATAGAAATCCGCAATCTATTAATTATTTTTATATTGAAAAGTATGTTAATGTATATGAAATAAAACTATAAAAATACAATATATTCATTTATTAAACTTGTTAAACAAATATTAATATAAAATGATTACTCATGCATAACAGTTAACCATATTTATTCATAGTTTTACAATTACATACATTCTTCAGTAAATATAGTCTCATAAAAAGATAAAGTTTTATACATATATTTGCTTGATTCTTTTAATTAAATAAGATTGATACATCTGTAATAAATCTAAAATAAGTATGATTTATAGGAACCTCATTAAACAAAATTTGATAGAATATTTAATGACTTGTAATATTGTAATGCTTTCGAAAGTGATAAATATAAGAATTATATAAATTTGTTTTTAATTCATCTCTCTTGTGTAACAATTATATTTATTATAATTTTCTATTAAAAAAGAATAGTTACTACGTATTTCAAAAAAGTAGTTATTTGACATGATTTACTGTAAGAAGTTATTTTCCTGTACATTAATTGTAAGACTAGAGTTTGTATCAGGTAGAAACAATCCTTTAGTATGTTTTAACAGATTGTGTCTTATATTGTTATCGTAAATTTAAATACGACTGTCTATTTCTTTTTCTTGATTTATCTAATATAAAAATCATGATTTTCCTGTAATAAGAGGGTTAGATAACCACACTAAATTATAAGATAAGATATAAATCTATACCTATGCATATAAATGTTTATCATTCAATTGTCACATAAGATATTATTTAATTACTATTTTTAGATTAAAAACAAAATATTACGGATATTTAAACAACTACATCACATATAAGTATTCCTTCAAAACTATTACACTATCAATGCTATTACGCTATTTCAATAAATTCATAAATGTGTACAAAACAGATTGTTCACTTAATTCAAAGGTTTCAGATAAGCTGCATCAAATGTATCAAGCTCATTTATTAAAAAGTTGGCCTCGTTTCGAAGATGCTTTGCCTTAGCTGCTGCTTTTTCCAATACAGCTAAAGTATTCGCTATAGTTCTAAGTTCGGTATCCATTTCGGATGTTGTTTCATCTACCAAATGACAGAGCCGTGCAAATGTGCTAGAGAGCTCCCTATATATAATCATACCAAATATTATTATACAAAAGAAATTTAAAAAATAAGTATATGTATATTGTTTTGTAATATAAAAAAATTTTGACAATTGAGAAAGTTAGTTTGAAAAGTCATTTTGAAAGAAAAAAGTTACATCATAAATAACTAATTATACATATACAGTTTACAAAAAATTGAAATTCTATTATAATAATACATTTTAATTTTAAAGTATCAAATAGTTAAAAAATAACTGAAATCAAAGCAACATTATTTCTTACACATATTTGTACATTGTCGTATCTTTATAGATTATAGATGTATAAATATTACGTACTGTTGTACTTGGTGACTGCAATTTGCAGAAGTGAGATCCACAATCAATCGTAACTTTTTGGTAGCATGCGAAACATATTGTCGTTTAAATTCTCGTTCCTTTGCTTTATTAGTCCATGTTAGACGTTCATAGAGATATAAAGCACCATATATAGCACCAGTTATAGCGATTAATCTCCAGCCTACTGTTTTCAACATCTAGAAGAAACACTTATTTGTGAAATCTTTTTTTCACAACTCTCTCTGACCTCTCCTCCATATTGCACATACATAATACACAAACGTTTAAAATGTACCGAAGTTAATAAACATCATATTTTGAACATTTGTTGCAATCAATTTTCTTCACTAATCTCTCTATTAATAGTTATTTCATTATTTACATCTATTCTCATATATTTCTCAATTTTTTATATTTAAATAAGTCATATAAAGATTACAATAAATATCTGATTGTAAATTACTGGATCTTACCTTCAGTTATTACAACGCGATAATAATGCAAATATGTTTCATTAAAAAAAATGTCAATGACTTTAAAATCTCGAAAGATATGATTCTTAGCAAAATTTTGCTTATTACAATATTTCGAAACAAATAAAATTTTTCTTTGATATTTCTAGCATCATCAAAAACTCACGAAATATTTAAAGTAGGTATTCAAGTTTGTATAAATGAGACATTCACTACTTGTCTGTCTCTGTCTTCCCTCTGTTCTCCCTCCCCTCCCTCTTTCTCTCTCTCTCTTTCTCTCTCCCTCTCTGCATATGAGGGGCATAAAAGTAGATTGTAAATAAAATTGTACATACAAAACCAGCAACAATAAGACCACCCATTGTACCCTGCGATGTTACAGATGCAACTGCTATACGAGTAGCTAATGACCAGTCATCAGATCTTGCTGGAAAGTTTGATGTACTTGAAACAAATTTGAGAGAATCGATGCTATCTGCAGGTGATGTGATACATGGCGGAATCTGCAGGAAAAATAATTATTTTCATATTTCTTTCACACTTAAAATGTGACATAAAAACATTTATCAATTGCAATATTTTTATACAAAGTGCCTTTTACTAAAAGTGTATTTTCTTTAACCGCAAATTCTTGGTCAAATTTTAAATTAATTTTTCCTTAATAAAGTTGCTCAAACTAAAAGTCCAGAAAAATCATGATTGTTATAAATTTTCAATGCACATCTTTGTACAATATAATATATAATATATAAATTTGTTTCTCTGTATCTTTTTGAGACATATTTCGTATTAAACTTCAAATTAAAATTCTATCAAAAAAAATTAAAATCTATTTTAAATTAACTAAAAAATACTCGTGACAATTTTATTATTTGTTTTCCTAAAGCTTAATTTTCACTGTTAATCGCTTATAATTTATAAGTGAGTGTTTTTATATTTTCATAAAGAAAAAATTGATTCAAAACACATCAACAATCCACGATACATCTTACCTCTTGCGGATAATTGGCAATAGCTAATCTCTGAATCTGCCTTCCTGCGAATCTATTAATTATTGCTGTAAAACCCCAAGAAAAACGAAATTCTAGATCTTCATGAAAGTCTGCGCATAAATTGTCACAATTTAGTCGATAAAATATCTCGAATGGTTCTCGTCGTGGTAAAATGTTAAGCGACATTTGTCTTTTGTTTTCGGGCAATAAGCTTGACATCCTTTCGGTCATTTCTCGTTGCGAGCTTTCCATGTTCAATGCTAAAGCCGTGCTGAGTCTGGCTCGTAAATTTGATCCTGCAATAGAATATAAAACATTTTTGAGCTCTTCAGCTACTACGTCTTCATATCAAATCACAATATGTAATCGAAAATCACCTAAGCCATTTTCTACATGTGTATGAAGCTCCCGTTTATATACATTTAAAACGAGTGGTTCAGGGTGAAACGGTACACTAAATTCATCTATTAAAACGGCTAGTCGCCGAATTTCCTCGCTTAAAGCTTTAGAAACCTTTTGCTCTACATCTTCTACCATATGATGAATTTTATCCTTCATTTCTTGAGTTAACAGCATCAACTGTTGCTCTGTGAAATTCAATTTATCGTGGACCTCTTTTTTGACATTTAACTGTTCACTTCGCATTTTTTGTGTTCGTTCTAAAATTTCGTCCAACGCTTGACGTATTTCCCTACAACAAATAATAAAAACAGATATTTTTTATAAATATAAATGACTACAGAATACTTCTTCCTTCCTTCTCCTCCTTCCTCATCAATTATGAGACTTGAAAAGAATTATGTATCAATTTCTTTCACTTTCTTACGTTGCAATATGTTTCCCACGCTGAGAGTGTTGTTCAAATTTAGTTTTTACTGCAGACTTTGAGATACATTCTTCAAATTTCCTTTCAAAATCTTGAAATTCAAAATATCGATTTTGGAAACCGTCTGCCAGCGCACCATCTGTATATATTAAATAATATAAATTAGTTTATATTAAAAATGACTTTCAAAATTATAAAAGTATAGATGGTAAGTTCGAAACACATTACTATGAGCAGGTTGTCCACGTTGTTCTTGCATACGAGCTTGAAGAGTTTCTTTTGCAGAAATAAAAAAGACACGTTCTTCAGCATCTTTTGGACTGTAGACTTTTAACTCCCTGGATAAAAAGTCGATAGCACGTTCTTGATGTTGTGCCCTTACCTACACATAAAAAAAATATATATAAATAAATAAAATTTGTATTACAATTCACAATTCAATCGTGATGTAAGCATATTGAATTTTGCCGACATATTATTAACATAAATAGCAACACATAAATCAAATAAAATAATTCTTTCTTTGATAAGTAACATATTATCTTTATAATTTTCAAAATTCTTATTTTATTATAAATATTATTATGATATATTAGCTTCTTGCTAATAAATTCATGCTGCAGGTGCATAGCATTTGTTTTTAGTGTAATAGAAATAGATATTGCAATTAAAAGTAAATATCTGACATATTATATGTATATAACAAAGCATCTATTTTCCTTTTTCTCATTATAACATATCGCGCTCCGAGAAGAATACTGTCACAACTGCGCAGCGAACTTTGCATATAAACTTATAATATTATTTTAACACGTGTAGATAACATTTTAGGCATACTTTTGGCTTTAACTCAAAATCAAAATTTTGTTATTTGTGACAGTATTCTTCTCGAGGTGCGATATATTAAGTTTCTACAGTTCTGAGAGTTCTCTTTCAATCCGCTTTTGCTTTCCACATCAACCAAAAATG